TTCATAAACAAAACCAGGTAGAGAGCCCTAAAAAGTTGTTAAACTCTTCAGTCAAAGGATATATAACATACCTCCTGATTTTCTGCATTAGGGGGTTAGTAGGCTACCAGACAAATGATGCATTAAAGCTTCGTCCTGTTTTTAAAACTCTCAGGGTAAGGAAATACCCCAAGGTCCAGGGAAGAAGAAATAGGAATTGTGCTTAAATGGGTCATTCACAAGACCCAGTGCATGACAAGCAGTCCACCGGAAAGATAAATTTTTATGGTCACAGTAGTTTCCCACATTATTAAGGCTAATATAACTATAGCGATTAACTTCAATGAGGGTGTGAGACAAGCATGGGTGGGGGACAGGGAAAAGAGCCGAACATGTGACACTACTGTGCACTCATGAGGTATTCAGTGTGAGACACTGGTTGTCTGTGTGTGGAAACAGGCAGCATGGAGAAGACCTGTGACAGCGATCTTGCCTTCCTTTCTTACTCTTTCTCCCCATACGCTGTCAGTGCCGAACCGAAGCCGTCTCAGCTGAAACATGCACGTAAAGCTTTCCAACTTGGGGAATGAAGTCATGCAAAGTTGAAATGCATACACAGAGGTTTTGTTCCCTAATACTGTAGTGAACAGTTCACAAGTTGGTGGGTGGATATATATCAAATTATAACTTGTTTGACAAAGACAGTTTCTGTAGTTTTCCCTGTGTACGCCACCATCATGGGTTTTAAACCAATATTAAGTCTTTGCGAGGGCAGACTTTCAGCTTTATTTAAAAGTTGTTGTTTTTTTTTCAGCAGTTTTTATACACTTTCCCCCATTGTAATGGGGACAAACACAATTGGACATTTGATCGACAGGCAGTTTCATTGCCAATTGAGGCCTGTTCCCTCGTTATTTCATGACAAATGAAGTAGACATAATGCTCCACGTTTACCCAAAGTATTCACTCACCCACCAAATCATTCAGTTCAGGTGTTCCAATCACTTCCATGGCCACAGGTGTGCAAAATCAAGCACTTAGGCATGCAGACAGCTTCCAGCGCGGTACCGTGATTGGATGCCACCTGTGCATCAAGTCCAGTTGTGAAATTTCCTCAGTACTAAATATTCCACAGTCAACTATTGGTGGTATTTTAACCACTAAAAGCAAAAGTAATAGGCCACATAAAATCAGAGGGTGGGGTCAGCAGATGCTGAGGTGCATAGTACACAGACGTTTCTGCAGAGTCAATCACTACAGACATTTAAACTTGTGTTCTTTAGAATAAATCAAGAACAGTGCATAGAGAGCTTGATGGAATGGATTTTCATGGTCAAGGAGCTGCATTCGAGTCTTACATCATTAAGTCCAATGCAAAGTGTGGAATGCAACAGTGTAGAGCACCCCACCACTGGACTCAGATCAGTAGACACTGGCAATCTGATGGACAAGCATGGGTTTAGCCATTGCCAGGAGAACGGTAGTCATCTAACATGGATGAGAGAGCTTGGTGTGGAAGAGTTTCAAAGCCATTATAGCTGCAAATGGTACGCTGACATTATATTAAATGCTATGGATGAAGAATGGGATGTGGCTCAATTTCATATATGTGTGAAGGTAGAAGATGAAACACTTTTGTAATATAGTGCATCTGAACATGATTCAAGTGTTGGATTTGTGTTTCATAGCTTTTAATTGTAATTTAAAATATGGGAAGCCATCATTAGCCTGCAAAAAAACAAACAAACCCTAAAACCTAAGAGAGATAGGAAGAACTTCAGGATTGGCCAAATCAACAGTAAGGTTCATTCTTAAAAAGAACGAATGCATTGAGTAGCTCAGCAACACTACAAGGCCTGAAAGACCACAGAAGAAAAATAAAGTGAATGATAGGATTATTTCAATGCTTAAGAAAACATCTAACCAATAGGACTTGAAGAGGCAGGCGTCTCAACCAACCAAGAGATGCCCTCATGAACGTAAATACAGAGAGTTTGCATGGTGCAAACCACTGGTTACACTCAGAACAAGATTATACACATAGCATACTTGGAGTGTGGTGTGCTAATAAAAGATACTGGACATGGGTTTTCCAATGCACAAGGCTGAGTACTTACAGGTATTTTTATTGTAGACTTTCAGATATACACATAAGTTAAACAATGGAATTAAGACTTCTAGTGAAAGCCTAGTTTCAGCGTCCTCAATACTGGTATAACTTGAACCGAGTCATCTTTGTAGAATATCTTCACAAATAGCAAGCAATAAACGAAGATATAAAAATGATGCTGTAAATTCAGACATTACCGACAAGACATTTTATAATAAACCTTTCCATAATTAGGCAGAGGCTCAAGCTGCTGGGAGGAAGCAAGAATAGTGTCTTACACAATTAATTTGAACACATAAGACCTTAAAACTCGCAATGACCAACATATCAAAAACTCAATCCATATTCAAAAACAAGGCTTCAGTCTTTGGCCTAAATGCGCCTATTGCTCCCCGAGCAGGCAGTGAGCCACAGTTGTGTCTAATGGGTGAAGGTCCGACCACCAGGAACTCACCGACATCACCTCCACTAGGCCTGGCTCCAGGGTGGTGCTCCAGTATCCATCCCTGGTAAGGTAACTGGGTCTCTGTTGCTCCCTACCTATAACCATTTACCTTGGGAGACCCTACCAAGGGGAAGTTACCTTTGTAACTCCATGGGTTACTCAGGCACCAACTCATAACATAGCAGTATCTGCATGGGGGGGAGAGAGACGAGAGTTTGTTTTGAAATCCAGGAAAGCAGTGGAGTCTAATACAAACGTGCATTAGGATTCACCACAAAGATTACTAAAAATATAAGCATCTTGTGACCCTTCACACCTTCTCAGAGGTCTGTAACACAAAGGATTTATTTTAGCCCTGATTCCCAGTGTTATGAGGGTTACACTTTATTGTTTCATTACCATAATGACTTATTCTGCAGATCCAGCTGCTTCATGTAGGTCATGTTTGAGTCACGAGAAACATGCATGAAACCACCTACAGGCCAGTTTTTCAGAGAACGGTATTATACCTCCTGGGAGATCCCTCAGATATCAGTGTGCAGACACCATAAGGGTCCAGTTGTTAGAATCTAAAGTTAGTGTGTCCCTGATGGAGCGCGGTAAGGAAAGGAGATTTTTATTTCTTGCATTTTTCTCCTCCTTTGAAAGCAATATCCTTATAAGCCACCTCCTTACTCACCACTAAACAGTTTAACACAGCTGATGTTGCAGCTGAAACTATGTAGCTTGCATGCCATGAGAAAAAAAACACAATTTAAAAGAACATAAACCTGTAATTCTTCTTAGGCCTTAGTCTTTCTCACCAGACTAAGGCGAGTACTATGCTTTAGCAAATAGTTGGGTTTAAATGGACTAATACTTAGAGCACTGTTCCAGTTAAACACATTCATACAATGTTGATTACCAAAGGAAAGCTTAAATACTGTATTACACTGCTGTATTACACGGCTGAATGGCTCGTATTCATGCTTGGGAAAGCTTACAGTTTCTCATCCAGGTGATAACCACATTGGTGTAACATTAGGGTAAGTGAACCAGGTCGTAGTACAGGCCCCAGGTGACAGGGACAAACACATAACAAGAAGCTAACCCACATACACTACGTTGAACTAATATGTAAAGTTAACCTTTGTTAAGACACATTTAATTACATAACTGGACACCAGGAGCCAAGATACAGGGCACAGGTGTTTTATACTCTGGCCATGATGAGGAAGTTGGTTAGGGGAGGAATCAGAACTGAGGCTGTGTTAACTAATACTAGTCACTACATAAATGTGGAGCTGCACAGCAATCCCAATAACAGGATTTAATGGGTGTTTAAAATGGGAAAAAAGACACCTGTTAAATTATAATATTATTTTATGCCATGTTATACCCCTAGTTAAAGATTGTGAATTATTATGTAGTTTTAGTTTGCATTATTCTCCTGAATTAGAAGAAGCGGATAACTATTGCATTAGTTAAACTGATTTGCACAATAACATTTTAAAAGTAGATAGATAGATAGATAGATAGATAGATAGATAGATAGATAGATAGATAGATAGATAGATAGATAGATAGATAGATAGATAGATAGATAGATAGATAGATTACCACAAAAAGACAACAAAAGGTTTCGGGTAGATGACAGAAAAAACAATTTGTTCTGATCACATAAGTGAAGCAAAATCTTTGGAGTAGTGTGGGGAAATCTAATTACAGTCTTTTAAAAATGGGCACATGCCCCCCAGTGCTATCAGTCCGGTTTACAGCAGTCCAAGTTGTGGAAGGAAGTCATGCATCGTGGAATCACATCACTCAGCCTGATACCAGGAGTAAATGACGTGGTAAAAACCTACAGCTCGGCAACTGCGCCTTCAAAATAAACCACTATTCGACTGGCTTTGAATTAGATGAGACACAAATGTCTTTACATCTGTCTAATAATAAACCCCTATTAGAGTCGCTATGAATTAAGAGAGACAGAAAACCTTTTGGAGTTGTCTTATCTGGTGTAAAATACAAATCTGGCAAATCAAACACTGCGAATAAGGGAGCGACTGAAAGTAGCTTTTAGAAATGCAAAAATTGCATAAATCCCATTCATAATTTATCTAACTTTACCTAGCGTGTTAAACGCCTGTTTTGTGTGGCCGTTACAACAGTAACGTGTGCTTTAACTTGAAAGCAACTGCCGGAAGTTGAGTCTTCTGTTTGGGCTAGCTTGGCGCCGTCGTAAGAGTAGATGGAGGTGAAGTTTCTCGCTGGAAATCGATCGACAGCGGACAGTTCAGTGTCACTCACACCGCGGAAGCATGTCACCATGTACGGTGTCTTTTTGACGGTGAAGCGGGATCGTTTCCATGATGGCGACCGCAGTACGGGCCAGTGTGAAAACTTGAGGAGAAAAGTTTGAGCACGGAACAGGAGTCTTTTTCTGAGACTTTCTCTGTTGTTACTGGCGTGATAAAAACAAACAACAAAAAACTAACATGGCATACTCAACTTTCGTTTCGTTTGTGGCATTTGCTTTGAGTTTGTACTTCGGAGTGTCCTATTGTTACTTTTCCATACCGCTGAAAATATACCCAGGGAAGTACAACGTCTCATCGGATGTGAATTTGACGTCTCTTCGGAGAGTAGCGTTAAAGTCTGATGGAAGCGGTCTCTCTCTGGCCTCTGATCCACCGGTACCGTGAACTTTCTGGACATGGTGAATAATTTGCAAGGAGACTCTGGGAGAGGCTACTACATAGAAATGTCAATCGGTACTCCTGGTCAAAAGGTAATGTAGCTCCTGAGCTGCTGTCTGTTTTAACTCTTTTTTACGTTTCTCATTTAGACTTAAACGCACCACTTGTGTCAGCTTTCCACTTTAATCACTGTATTTGCGCTGTGTTGTGTGTTTTTGTGTTTATTTGTTTTTTCCTGGATGCATTTGTAGTGTGTTTACTGTGTATGTGTGAATAGGGGCTGGTCCATCCACCATGTGATCCAGTGGTCAGAAGGTGGGCTGGGTGTGTTTGTTTTGACTCAGGGCCATGGATACCCATCTATACAGCACTGTGTATTTAAATATGCTTTTAAATGTCTGTGTAGGTAATCTTGAACGTTTGAAAAAATAAGGCAACAGACTAGATCTCTATTACCCAAGAGGCTCCTTCATTTCTTAAAAAAAAAGAAAAAAAAGAAAGAAGTCAGGTATTTAATCCCCAGTGGAGGGTTGCCCCCTTTGGAAGTGGTCCTCAGGGTCCCTGATCCACTTGGTCATGCGAGTCGTCACATGAGCCAAGGTGGGAAGGGTGAAACTACTGTGAGACTTCACCCCACCACATCTTGTGACCTGTTGAGGTCACCTGATGCAAGGTGTGAGTGGAGATGAAGCCTTCATCGTAGGTGGACGATAGCTGGTGTCGTAAGCCACCACCAATGTTCAATCACTGACTCCTTTAACAGCCATATTTTTTTTTTCAAGCTATTAAGTCTATACTTCAAAATATAAGGTTTAAATTTACCCCTGCAGCAGAGGGTCATGGGAAGATAAGTATGTCTAGTACATTCTTACATTTAGGCTCGCCTGGGACCACGGAGGAAGGATAATATAGCTGTGAGGGTGCTTCAGCCTTATTATAGCCTAGGGGTCTGTAGACTAAACCCCCACCACCAACACCAACACTCTTTCTCTGGCTCACATGCACTCACATGATGCTGCCTGCGAGGACCAGTGTTTCTTAGCAGGCAGCTGACAGGGATTACCAGGATCCCAGGCAGCAGAGAGCACCCCGAGAGTTGTACAAAATAGCACTTGCTCTACAGCAGGGATATTCGTTGGCTGCTATTCTTTTGGTTGCAGAACTTGGAAATGCGTACGTGTAATTTATTAGAACGTCATTTTTATACTGCTTGTTATGTAAAGCGCCTAACAAGATCATATTAATAATTGAGGAGGACTAAATCTGGGTGAGCTGGAGCTCCCATCACTATTAAAAATACATGAGGCTTTAAGGGTGGCAGCGATTTGCCTTTGTGTTGTAAAGTAGTTGTCTTTGAATTGGAGCTTAAAGCAAAGGTGAATTATCTCATTAGTAAGTTGACCTGTTGCCCCGGGGCATCTCGAGTTAAACAGATCAGAGCTTTTAAGACCCTTGGGCAGCACATCTCAGTTTCTCAGGCTCACAGAGGCTTATCTGCGCTACCTGCCATGTCGCTGAGGATAACATTGCAGCACTTGCCAGAGTACACTTCCCACACTTCCTTATTATCAAGTCACAGCGTTGTATGCTTAATGACTTTTGTCCTAATAGAAAAGAACACTTTATAGTGTTCCCCAAAGAAGAAAATTCCCCTTTACCCTTATTACTTATCATTATTCAACAGGTAAATGTATAACAACAGATTATCAATCATAAAAGTCAGTCAGTTAAGCAAATGTCATCAATGCATTAGCACTGGAACTAAGATTACTATTCAGTTATATTCAGCATATTGGTATTTTAAATATGTTTCTCTATTGGGAGGAGTATGTATGTGTCAGTGGTGGCTCACCTTTACAAAACATTAAATCAGAAAGGGCGCAGTCTTTATGGTGTTTTTTTATTACAGCTGTGTGTTTCCTACTTTGTCAGGAAACTTTCTGTGCAGAGAACATTCACAGAAAGTTAATGACACGTTTAGGGGTTTGGCTATTGCCATTTAGTTTTTTGTTTCTTTGTTTTTTGTTGAATTGTTCACATTTGGGTGAGATTATGGAGATTATGGAGTGTTTTTTTTAAGGCTAGCTCGCTTGTTTAGCAGAGTGGATCCATATTGCTGCATCAAGCATTAAAACCACCTGAAAGCTGAACTTGATACAGATACCTGCTAAACAGCCATTTTTATTATTTGTTCGCGTTTAAAGTCGTTCTTGCACAATTTCCAGGATGTTAATATTACGGATGTGTGAACATAATTGTAGGCTCAGACTTCTTTAATTGGTTTATGATGCACAGTAAAGATAGAGGAAGCTTCACCTCTTGATCTTCTAGTCTTTTAGTGAAACCTTGCCAGCAGAGAGCCATCTGCTTTGGTTCAGATTGTTTATGCGGTGGCAAAATGTCGTGTAACTCGATACTATTGAGTTATACTCTCAATATTATTCTAACTAGATGATGATGTGATTACAGGGCCGCGGTGTTCAATGAGGCACTATTCAAATCAGCCACTAATTGCGGCGTCTGTTAGCATGTGGCACACACAGGTTGAGTGTTGGCTGGAGAGCCTCACATCTGCTAATTGGTACAAACAGGTAGCAGATGCACGCTGCCTCCATGGAGCTACCGCCAATTAGACAGCGAACGCTCAACTGCAGACTGCCTCAGCAGGGGAAGAGACTTGCCTGAAGCTCTGAAGCTTGACAAAGGGATGATAGTGTGACTAGTAAAAAGATAGGTGGTGTGGGGATAAGGAGCTGCCCTTGCTTTCCCTTCTCGCTATTCTCCTTCACCACAGGATATCAGAATTTTCCAGTCAGGCCTGTTTGACTGGTTCAGGCCTTGTGTGAGTGGCCTGCTGCCATCTGCTAAGGTGGCAGAGGAGTTTTGGATGGCACAGTGACAGTGGTGGGACAGGAGCCAGCGCAATGAGGAGGAACTGATAAGCCTGGCTCAACAGGGGTTTCCCATGGCTGAGTGAACCAGTCGATAACATGTGGTTGATAATTACAGACCTGCTTTCATAAAGGCCAAATGAATCTGAGCATGCCGGTGGGATGTCGGCTACAAGGAAATGAGTAAGAAAGTTTGCGCTCATAAGCAAACAGTGTAGCGTAATGGTCAACAATGGTCAACAAGCGTTTATCTGAAATGTAATTTAAGTAAACTATTGCCCGCTGTTGTGGTGCGCCTTAATGTAAAGGCAAACGCAACGAGGCGACAGTCGATCAGTTGTTGAAACCGCTGTTTACATTTGAACATGTCTAATGAGCTGCTCAGTTTTCATAGATTGCCACGAGTCTTTGTTGCTGATTCATCAGGTGGCGTCGGGGCATTAGGTTTATGACCCCCGCCTCGGTGGCGAATGCTTGCCAGCGAGTGTTAACATGGCCACAGCTGAAACATGAAGGTGACAGAAGTCTGCTGTTTATTTGTTCCTGTTCATTGACTCGATGCCTGGAAGACAACTTGATCTCAAGTGCTGTTAACTCGTCCCCACTGTTCACATGACACATACCAAACAACTGGTTAGGTCATACAGTCATGAAAGCAGCTTGAGGCTGTCGTGTTTGACTCTCAGATCACACATTCAGTGAACACTTGCGTCCGAGGTGCGTTGTTAATGACGAAGACCTTTCACACCAGTTTGTCCAACACTAGAACTAAACCAAAAGTAGTGCCGTTGCAACTTCATGTGTATCATTTCCTCTCGTGTGTGCTGCTAAAATAATGTTTACAGACGTTATTAAAAATGTGTAATTAATTTTAGCTGCAACCAAGCTGCGTTTTCTTCCTCCAGAGAAAATGTCCATTTACGGTTCTATATGAATCTTTCAGATGGGCACGAAACGCCCCTAAAAGAGATATAACCTTCTTTATGTTCGGCTATTTTTATGGCCCATTTCCCTCTCATTGTTTCCTTGAGAACTGTCGTGTAATTTACCTTTTGTGTTTTCATGCTGTGGGGAAATTTCTCACATCTATCTTTCTCCCTTCTCCTCTAATCATATCTGCAAACAAACTTTAATGTCTTTTTAAAGCTTAAAGGCTTGTGAATGCATCCCACTGTGCTTAGCTGTCATTCTTTTCTTTTTTTTCTTTTTTTCTTTTTTACCATGTGATTCTGGGGCCATGTAAGTGGGGGGAGGGGGGGTAACAGATAGCTGGAGTGATTGTTAAAACAAACTGTGCCTTCTGTTTTCCAGCTGAACATCCTGGTGGATACGGGTAGCAGTAACTTTGCCGTGGCTGCAGCTCCACACCAATTTATTACTCATTACTTCAACACTGCACTGTGAGTGGCTGGAATACTGCCTGCTTGCATTTTGTAATAACTGTAGTATAACATAGTAAATACATTCAGTTTTTGTTATATATAGCTTTGTAACTGTTTACATATTCTGTCTTCTTTTCTCCTGCTTTTAGTTCCAGTACCTACCGTTCAACCGGTCGCACTGTAGCTGTAAGGTACACCCAAGGCAACTGGGAAGGTGAGCTGGGAATAGACAGCGTCTCTATTCCCAGAGGCCCAAACGGGACCATCAACATCAACATCGCCGCCATCCTGTCTTCTGATGGCTTCTTCCTCCCTGGGATCAACTGGCAAGGCATCCTGGGATTGGCCTATCCTGTGCTGGCACGGGTACGGGAGATACTCATTTACAAGTTTGCGTAAAGTTATTAAGCAAAGTCATTGATTTCTGCCCAGTGTGACATTAACTAGTAAGAAGCTGTTTTACACTCTAATGAAAACAAAGACGACACTCAAAGGACAGACGTTTTGGCGCACTCATATGTGAATTGTGAAAAAAATGGGGATTTGATTTATTTCATTTGTGTTCTGTTCAACCGTTTTCTTACACTTGTCCAATTCAGGGTTGTGGGGGCCTGGAGCCACTGTCATAGGGTGAAAGGCGTGGTATACTAGACAGATTGCCAGTCTATCAGAGGATTAACAGAGAGACACATTCAGGTCTACAGCCATATAAAAATCGCCAGCTAACCTAACGTATATCTTTGGACAGTGGGGAAAACAAAACAAAGTACCAGCTGGTGGATTTGAACCCAGGACCTTCTTGCTGTGAGGCAACAGTGCTACCAAAAGCACCACCGAAGTGACTATAAAAGCATTGATTACTAAAATAACATAAACTAATTATATTGAGTGAATCCTCAGAGCTTGTCCGGACAGGCAACGTCATTCTCACTTACATGCCTCCCACTCCTCACATCACATATCAAACACCCTTCCAATTTAGCAGTCTACTTAAGCTGCAAATCCTCTGACTGCTGCCCTGAGTCACTGCTGTTTTAACCCCTGGAACAGCCCCAGCATCCACCTGTGTTCTCCGTGGGATATTTGCTCCTTACTCGTCAATTTCTTGGTGTGTCATATTTGCAGAATGTCATTTTTGGAGCACAAACACCATACTCTGGTTGAATTCTGTTTCTGTATGAATCGTTGCAAAATGATTTGGCTAATTAAAGCACTGTTTTCCATGTATGTGGAATTAAACACAAACCTAAGGATGAGAGCAGAAGGAGGAAGCAAAACCTGAGAAAATGTGAACATGCAGGTTTCACAATGTGACAGCATTGCATGGCTTCCTGCTCGCCTCCATTTCTGTTAAACCACTGAATAACTTTGCGGTCTAATCTTATCTGAATGTCGTCATCCACTTTTCACATGAAAGAAGAAAACTTGTTTGTGATATAATTACAGGAGTGTGTGTTTTTCTTATAAAATGATGGGGTGAGGTTATGTTGTTGCTGTATTTTGTCATCTCTTACTTCCATCTCCCCTTATACCATAGATGTGAATTAATCAGTTTTCTTTTTTCAAAAGAAGAGCTAAATCAAGGTGCTTTACCCAGTGTCAGCTTTTTTTAACAGATTAATCTCGTCTTAATGGAGCGTTAAAGACGTCAGCGCAAACTGCACAATACGTACCTTCATTCTGCGCTGACTGCAACAACCTTTGGAATCAAATGTCAGTGATTGTGGAGCCGATACGCTTACACTGACCACTTTGTGCTATTGGCGACTCCTGAGTGCTGAGGTTGAACTTTCTTCCAGGCTGTTTGTCATGCATGACATGGTGACACTGTGGAGGAAAACAGGAGTGAACATATCACAGTCCAAACTGATGATATACCGCTGTCACATAAAAACACATTTCAGCATTTCCATTCAATAGAGCTGATGTTTGAGGTGATTGATTTTCTACGATGTTGTGTGTGAAGCTTTTACAATCTGTGTAGTTACACAAGCTAAAGGTATGAAACGCAAGTGTAAAGGTTTCACTCGATCAACATTATTTAACACCGTCTCGTGTGTCTCCACCAGCCTGACTCGTCCGTGGAGCCTTCTTCAACTCCGTGGTGAGACAGCTGGGAATTCCTGACGTCTTTTCCCTCCAGATGTGTGGTGCTGGACTGTCAGCCGGCAGCGAAACAGACACTACGGGCGGCAGTCTTGTGAGTAGTCAGAAGTAACACCCCAAGGAGGAGTTTGATTAGATAAAAACATTGGTTTTAAACAGTCTTTATATTTTGGATCTCTGTCTGAGATTTTGATAGCTTGTGTGTGTGACCAGCACCTTTTTATAAACGTCATAGCTGATGTCCTTCATGTCACTGTGTTTCCACATTGGAAGGCCTTTCTACTTTGACTGGAGCTAATTAAGCTAAGATAGCATCCTGCTGAGAGCAAGTCTGTCGCCGTAATACTTTCGACCTTGGTGCCTCGCTCACCGCATCTCCATCATGTGACCCGCTGGTGCAGACAGATGGATAAGATGGCAGGGTGCTTGTGCGTGTATGTGTGTTTATTGACTGTGGTCTGTCAGAGTGTGGGCACGGGGATAAACATTTGCTAGAGTGTATTCTTGTTGGATATTTAATGTGGCACACTTGACCTGGTGATGATTGTGTGGTTTTATTCCTTCACAGTGGTGAAAGTTTCTGCCCGAACATCCACTAAGAATGTTTTAGGCCACAAGTCATATGCTAAAAATTAGAGATTCCCACACAAGTCAGATACAACGATGAAGCAACATTATATATCAAAGAGGTCAAAGGTCACAGGGATATCACAACGTTCTGTGAAGCACTTCTGACTAATATTGATTAGGATATTAAGTAGATCTACTGTATCGATATTTGTAACAGCTGATTTAAAAAAGGTAAAAAGGGAGACGGTGGAAACACCATAGTTTTTCCACCACATGACTCTCTGCCACTCCCTCTGTTAGCAACATGTTTGGAATGCCACAAACAAAAGCCGAGCAGAGCGTGAATGAGTACATAATAACTATCATAATGCACAAATAAGTACACATAACAAATGTTATGGAAATCTGTTGTTTGTGTTTTGAGTGTTTGGGAAAAAAAACAATTGGCCGATATGTCAGAATTAGATCACTAAGTATCAGTATTTATCTGTCTTAAGAATCCTATTCCTATCAGGCTCTAATTTTAAGTTTAGTTAGATACTGAAGTGGTGAAGCTAAACAGATATGTAAACTGCAACTTAGCTGATTTATTGAGGCAAAAAAAATAAAAGGCAGTAATTCTGGTTATCTTCTTCTCTTAGATAATGGGTGGGGCTGAACCAAGTCTGTATCGAGGCTCAGTGTGGTACACCCCTATAATAGAAGAGTGGTACTACCAGGTGGAGGTGTTGAAGCTGGAGGTGGGAGACCAGAATCTGAATCTGGACTGCAGAGAGGTAAAACTTCACGGTCTGAATCGCTTCTCTCACTGTCTGATCCTAACTCCACACTGCACTATTTCAAAGTGAACTGTAACTTTGACTTGGAAGTTGACTCACAGCACTTGATTAACTTGCTGTGTCAAGGTTAAAACACTGAAATGTAAGAGAAGCTGAGTAGGAGTGCTGCAGAGCAGTGTAATCCAGTTTGTCTGCTTGTGAAAGAACTTCCTCATTTTATATTCTTTTGTTTGCTCAAGGTCTTCCATAGGAGTCCGTTGCAGCGAGAACAAACCCTACCGCACGTCACTCTTTCTCTCTTTCTTTCAGTATAACATGGATAAAGCTATAGTCGACAGTGGGACGACTCTGCTGCGACTTCCTGTCAACGTCTTCAATGCATTGGTAGAAGCCATCATACGCAGCTCTCTGGTATGCTGCCTCCGCTCCACAGACAATCATGAAACATGTTGTCAGAGCAAAGATATGCAGGGGAGAATAGCACACACTCACTGTTCAAGGACGTAGTAGCTTTAAGTGGAGGGATCGAGGGTTTTTTTTTCCTGGTGTGTGTGTGTGTGTGTGTGTGTGTGTGTGTGTGTGTGTGTGTGTGTGTGTGTGTGTGTGTGTGTGTGTGTGTGTGTGTGTGTGTGTGTGTGTGTGTGTGTGTGTGTGCGCGCGCGCTCCATGCCTTTGTTTATTTACCATTAGGCTTTGCACATTTCTCACCTTTTTGGAACTGCACACAAACAGTTCCCAAGGTTAATTTGAACTTGGAGGCAACATTTTCAATTAAAGCAGCCACATCCTTGCAGATGAATACATCCATCCATCCATCTTCATCCGCTTTATCCGGGGCCGGGTCGCGGGGGCAGCAGCCTAAGCAAAGAGGCCCAGACCTCCCTCTCCCCAGCCACCTCCTCCAGCTTATCCGGGGGAATACCAAGGCGCTCCCAGGCCAGCTGAGAGATATAATCTCTCCAGCGTGTCCTGGGTCTGCACCCTTTTCCGGCTGAGAACCATGGCCTCAGATTTGGAGGTGCTGATCCTCATTCCCGCTGCTTCACACTCGGCTGCGAACCGTTCCAGTGCGAGCTGGAGGCCCTCACCCGATGAAGCCAACAGAACCACATCATCTGCAAAAATCAGAGATGAGATTCTGAGGCCACCAAAGCGAAAGCCCTCCGCCACTTGGCTGCGCCTAGAAATCCTGTCCATAAAATTATGAACAGAACCGGAGACAAAGGGCAGCCCTGGCGGAGCCCATCACCCACCAGGAACGAGTCCGACTTATTGCCGGCAATGCGAACCAAGCTCTTGCAACGGTTGTATAGGGATCGAATGGCCCGTAGCAATGGGCCAGACACCCCATACTCCCGCAACACCTCCCATGCTATCGTGCATAGATGGAGCGCTTTAGGTTGAAGTTGTAAAATGTTGCTTTTTTTGTTTCTTTCTTTGTTTTTTTGTTTGTGTGTGTCAGCCGGTACATAAAGGTACATAAAGTGCATGAGGCAGTTAAACAACTCCTTGGTGGCAGAGCCCCTGGTGTTGATGAGGTCCGCCCCGAGTTCCTGAAGGCTCTGGACGTTGTAGGGCTGTCCTGGTTGACACGCCTCTGCAATGTTGCGTGGAGATCAGGGGCAGTACCTGTGGACTGGCAGACCGGGGTGGTGGTCCCCATCTTTAAGAAGGGGGACCGGAGGGTGTGTTCCAACTACAGGGGGATCACACTCCTCAGCCTCCCTGGGAAAGTCTATGCCAGGGTGCTGGAAAGGAGAGTTCGTCCGTTAGTCGAACCTCGGATACAGGAGGAACAATGCGGTTTTCGTCCAGATGAATACAAAGTAGGAAAATGAAAGCAGAACATCAAAACTTGTTTTGGTGCTATGTTGACCTTCTTTTTCTGTCTTTATCCTTTTTATCCTTCGCACTGTCTCTTTTCTGTCTCTGTCAATTTCTTACTGTGACTGTCTTATTTTCTTTTTCTCTTTCCTCCTGTGTTTTTTTTTTTTTTGTTTTTGTTTTTAATTCAGATCGAGGAGTTTTCTTCAGGGTTCTGGGAAGGCACCAAGTTAGCATGTTGGATGAAGGGAGAGAACCCCTGGAGGTTTTTCCCTAAGCTGTCCATCTACCTGAGGGCCACGAACACCAGCGAGTCGTTCCGCGTCACCATTCTGCCTCAGGTGCCAGGCACATATATAATCATATAATCATTCCTTCTCTAGAGCTTCCATCAAACAAAGACAAACTCATCTCATCCTCATTTCTTGTCATCTCACAGCTTTACATCCAGCCAATCACGGATGTTGACGGCACGCTGGACTGCTTCCGTTTCGGGGTGTCGTCGTCAACAAATGGCATGGTGATCGGCGCCACTGTTATGGAAGGCTTCTATGTAGTGTTTGACCGCACTCAGCGGAGACTGGGCTTCGCACTCAGCAGCTGTGCAGGTCAGGGTTCATACTGGTGCCACTTACTGCAGTTACATGTCTGTAAATATTTCGCTTTTTATGAGAAACTACAGCAGAAATCCTAAAGTACAGAGTAAACCAGACATCAGCTAATGATAACTTACTGACAGGCAAAGTCCTAAAGTCAGCCACTTTCAGGCTCCCTGACCAAGAGCTCAACACAGTGTCCTGTTCACTGAGATCTAAACGTCAACGGTTAAGCCTTCAGTGGCACTTCCTCATAGTTCTGTGGAAAAATGAACTTTGGCCAAGCCTCCCTCCCTAATACTAAAGTACAAAGTTCATTTTTGTTGTGTACTGAGCAAACACTTTTGTAGGCTTAAGGTTGGAGGCTTGTGACAGCATTTAATGTCTAAGCAGGGCAGGTAAAATAAATAAGAAAGTTAAATGCCATTGTTTAAAAAAAAATGATGCCTGAGCCCGTCATCGAAGACTACGAGCAGCAGTGTGCTTGATTAAAAAGCTGGGATAAAGTCTGGAGCCTGGCTGTTTAATGCTCTGTATGTGAGAACAAGAATTTCAAGACATCCTGAAGCCAATGTAAAGATTATAAAATAGGAGTGACGTGAGCTCGCTTGCTGCAATGTGTTAATGGTCTGTGTCATTTGGAGGCATGAAAGAGATCATTTATCTAAGCAGGTAAAAACAAGGCAATAATTGTGCATGAATAATTTCTTCCAGTTCCACCAAATTCAATTTAATTTTATTTTTATGGGCTAAATCACAACAACAGGAACCCTCAAAACATTTTATATTGTAAGGTAAAGACTACAATAATACACCGAAAATCTCAGCAATCAGATGACCCCATTTGAGCAAGCTCTTGGTGACAGTGGCAAGGAAAAACTCCCCTTTAACAGGAAGTAAATGTCAAGCAGAACCAGGAGGGCAGCCGTCGGCCATGACCGGTCGGCCAAAGAGACCATATTTAGCAATTTCTAAATGTTCCTTAAACGAGGAAAAACAGGAATGAAAAATGGATTTTGCACACTTTTAAAAGCAACAGTTGTTCAGTTAAATGTTTAAATGTTTAAAACGTTCATTTGCTCATTGTCAAGATAGCCTCAGCTAGCTCTCAGTCCAGCAAAAGTTCTCTTTACCTGTCTTTCCAGCTTTTCTCAAAGATTAGCTCACAGTCACAGGTTAACTCTTTTTATTTGGCACTTGTTAAATTTGTATTGAATGAGGGCGTATGAGTGATGCTAAATAATGCTGTTTTTTTGGTTTAATGAGATCATGTTATAAGACCTCTCTCATACGTCACTGCAGTGAGCGATGGGGTGGCTCTGTCAGAGATCGAGGGACCCTTCTCTGCAGCGGACGTGGCGGCCGACTGCTCTGGCGGCCCACTGAAGGAGCCTCTTGTGTGGATGATATCTTACGCCCTGATGGCAGTCTGCGCGTTGGCCCTCCTCATCCTGCTGCTCATGCTCATCCTGCCCTGCAGATGCGGAAACCGGAACGGTGAGATCACGGACGAGTCCTCGCTGGTACGACACCGCATCAAATGACTGAGAGGGCAAAGTAGAGCGAACCCGGGGAAGGGACAGTCGGACAGTGAGCAGAGCGCCTCCACGAGAGGCTGCACCGACCAATGACACTTGACTTAGGATTTTTAGACTGGACTCATCAGCTTGGCCCACAGAGGCAGTCGCACAGACAGATCAACTGCCTCTGAAGGGGAAAAATCCCCAGAACAATTCTTTAAAAAAACAGCTGTTGGTGGTGAATTTGTATTTTCTTGTTGGTTTTTTTGTGGTCGTGGCCTCTCTTTGACGATGATAGTTTGCTAATGTTATGCTTATGTTGCCTTAATCCACCTACAGAGGCTGGTGGAGGCACTCAAATCATAACTGGGCTTGTTCTAATTAAAACTGCTAAAGGTATTCTGAGAAATCTAGAACTTCAATAACACTAGAAGATTAAAATTAAAAATTTTAAAGCAGTTAATAAGTATACACACACTAACCATCACAGCAAAGAACAGCTCAGCGGTGCAGACAATCACAGCACATCCAGAAGGAAGGATAATAACACTGATATCATCTCCATGCAAAAGGTGTTTTCTAGGTTTCTAAGCCTTATAAACCAAAAGTGCCTTCGTTTTTGGTTTTTTTGTTTGTTTGTTTGTTTGTTTGTTTTTGGGGGGGGGGGGTTCAATCTAATGCCAACAACGGGATCTATTTCTTGGATCTATTTTGAAGTTTTCCACTCGTCTGTGGAGTCAAATGATTACCCAGAGATATTACATAAAAAATAAACTAATTAAAGTAAAGCTGCTCACTGGTAATAGGAAGAATATGAAAAGTTAGACTTGTGTTTACAGCGCCTGTAGTGCCTCTGTGGTCTCGGCTCTCTGCTAGAACAGTATCAGCAGTTTGGGACTTACTCTGCTGAATTGCACTTCCAAAGTCGATCAAAGTGTTATATAAAACGAAAGATCAATATTTCTCCTTCTGTAATGTAGTTTATTATTTTAATGTAGCTATACCCATTCTGTATACCCTCAGCTTTATATTTAAGTCTCTTTGAATGTGATTGTATCATCATCATCATCATCATTATTATTATTATTATTATTATTATTATTATTATTATAATTATTCCAGATCTTTGCTTTCTGAGACTAGAATTCAAAGGGTGTTTATACTGCACATTTTATACAAATCATATACAGAAACACTTCAGCATTGATTTCCTTTGTTACTTGTGAGCTTCAGTTAACGTTCTAGCAAAGCAGACATTCCTGTTAGCAGTAAAAAAGAGATAAAGAATCAACTTATTGAATGTCATTTTGCAGTCTGTTCGCACCAGTGAAATAAGGTCCATACACAGTCCACAGAAGATGCTGCGCCACAGTTCAGCCTCATTCAGCTTCCTGTAATCTGACCCAAGCTGCACTAACATGTCGGAAAAAATGTCAATTTGTGAGACTGTTTCACTGAAAGCACACTTGAATCTAAAACTGCTCGCTTATTTATGAGTGTATTTTTTCTGTGCCAAAAATTGTAAACTGTGTTGTAAATAAAACAACTTGTGACAAATCAAAGACATAATCGTTTTTAAATCATTTTTATTTCTTTTTGGATGAGAAATACAACAAAATAAAAGGTACTTAAATGTAGCTTATAATAGATAAAGTAATTTCAAAAAGTAACAAATTATGAAAAAGAAAATGGCAATAATTCAATGTAAGTTTTTCTCTGTATACGTGTCGGGTTGATACCTCTGTAAACAGAAGTACAATTCATCTGGTTGTGTTTGAACATTATCTGCATGTAAGTTGCTAATAGCAAATATTTTTATGCTAACACAAAAGGTCAAGATGAATATAATTACTTCATAATCATCACAATATTAGAGCTGTAACAGTTATTATCTTGATTAATGGTTAAATGTCTCTCAGTGTAGTCTTGAGCCGCTCTTCATTTCTGCTTAATTTGCCAAAACACGTCTAAACATAAGTAGAAATACAGTAGATAAGGCAAAAACAGAGTTTGTACAATTCTAACAAGCTTGAAAGATGATGTATGTCACCACCTTTACCCGGTTTTAACACCGAGTAAAGACTAGGTCTTTTTTTTTTTGGATGTCTTGCTGCATAAAACCTTTAACAAAAGGTTGTACTATATTTTCTAAAAAGCTGTGATTGCCTACAGCTGTTTTACCTTTATTTAAGAAAAAAATAAGAAGCAGTGTCATTGTGGTATTTTAAAAAGCTGTGTCATCAGACTCATGCTCTGGCTTCCTCAAAGTACCTTGCTCAATTCATGACACAAATGTTGAGAACTACGAGTCAAATGTTCAATACAGCTTAATGCTACTTGATGTCAGTGTTGCTAAGCATACAGCTGAAACGTACACTGATACAAATGATTGATTAGAACAACTTTTAGTTGCCACTATACGAGCTCATCATTTGCAGAGGGACCTGTTGCTAGTTTAGTCTCTCTGACTGTTTCTGAGAGTAAAGTACACAAGTTTCACGACTCAAGGTGTGCTTGGTACTTTTGATAGCTATTGAAACGGTTGTGGGGCGGAAAGTGGCTTTAAAGAGCCTTCGCGATTTTTGGTGATTAAAGTTCAGTCATTTAGTTGCTTTACTCCAGCCCATTCACTAGCTGAGACCACATCCTCATGTAGGTTTGGTATTTCTAGTACATAATTGCAGATTGCACGAGCATGAATTGAGGCTGCTGTTTGGGGGAAGGCCTCAGAGGGGACTTCCGGGTTGGGCATATCCCGATGTGCTAATGAGAGGTGAATGAAGTGGAAAAAAAGGAAGTGTGTGGGGTTGTTTATAGACTGAGGGCTGTGAAATTCAGATAAATGAGCCAGTACACACCCAAGAACCCAGCCCCAGATACTGAGAACCATCAATACACCATTGGGTGGGGGCACCAGCCACTGGCTGGGGAATAGGCCCCACACCTGGGGGAGCCTGACATGTTCTGAGAGACAGAGGTGGAGTCTAAGACCTGACCTGAAACATAGATATTTACTGTGTAACCCTCCCCAAGACCTTCGGTGTCTACATGCAATTTAAAATTGAGAAGTGGGCACCGACACCAGAGGTGAGGCTGAATGAACAGACTCTGGACGCTGTTCAGTGTGCCCACCCCGAAGGCCCTATATGTATGTGTCATGAGAATGAAAGTAATGAGAGAGTCTAAACTGTGGAGGAAAACTAAGGTACAGGCAGCCATGAGGGGGGAGAGAAGGAGGGCCTCCCTTGCACCTCAGTGACACACCTGCATCCCAAGCCCCTGCGTGTGTGGAGGGGGGAGGAGCCAGCTTCCTCGCTGACCACCAAGGGCAGGGAGGCGCAGGCCCATACAGCCCATGGCTGCAGCACCACCGACGCCCAGGGTGACCCGTCCGACCACCCCACTCTTTTGTCTCTTTTAGCTAGGTGCTGTTTTTAAGCTTATATGATTCACAACTCAGTCTTCAGTGGCTTAACAAAATAAAAGCATTGCTCTGAAAATGATCAAGTACAAGTAATGGAGTCTAAATGAGTGAAAAAGCAGCCAATGTCCAAAGAAAAACCTTTAAAAACCTTCAGAAGACCTGGAGAACTATTGATCAAGACCACTTTATAAAAAGTAGGAAAGACAAGAAAGTATGCTCACACTTTGGAAGCAAAATATGAAGAAATGAGGAGAGGATCAAGACTTTTGCACAGTACTTTGTTTGCATTTTTGTTCCTTCTTTACAAGAAAAAAAAAAGCTTTGTAATCCTCTGCGGATGATAAAGGCGAAGGATACCAAAGACAATGAAACATAATGTCAGGGCACGGATTAACCTTTTGGCTTGTCAAACACTCGAACAAATACGATTAATCACACACAACACTCATATTAATATCCTAACTTGGCGTCAAGGCCCTGCTGTGATTCAGACATACGGTGTTTATCATTATATCCAGCCTCCAGGTAAAGCTGTACAACTCAGAGCACCAGATGGGTAAACCTTCTTATAACATCTGGTCCTCCAAAGAGATTAAATCAAAAGGTACATAAAGTGCATGAAATCACACAGAGCGAAGTTAAATTTGACTTTTAATCAAAGTCTAATCTTTCTTTATATTTTACACTTTGCCTGTTCATGAGTGCCATTACAAAATCTCAAAACGAATGAACCTTCATCTGACGGTGGATCCAGTCCGGGAAGTATGCGACGTTGCCGTAAACACCCGGTGCATCCTGCCCAGCGTGCTGTTCACCCCAAATGCTGTCACCTATGAGCCACCATACTCCATCCATCAGGGACACCAGAGGGCCGCCGCCGTCAGCCTGAGACACAGTTCAGGAACAAACAAAGGGCAATACTAACTTACAGTGACTTTGAGAGGCTACATGAGGACTTTTGAGGACAGTTTTAGGTCTTTCATGGATTTCTGAGGTCAGTGAAAAAGCTCTAAATCATCCAAATAAAAGGGGATATAATAGTCAGCTGCCTCCTCTGGGCTCTAACTATACATTCACTGCTGACTGTATAAGTGGATTGTTACCAGGCACAAAAACGAACAGTTTATTTAAAACGGTTGCTGCACACAGAACATAGTGCTGGACTTGTTTGAGAGCGCCGCAAAAGCAGTTACATAAGAGCATGAAAATGTTTTGGATTCTTTGATGAACAAAAACTGCTTTTATGCGACGGTCTGTTTGGACTGGCTGAACTGCAAACACTATTGGAGCGCATTGTTCTGAGTCTGCATTCAGAGACTCCATTCCCACTAAAACTGAAGCATTGTAACCTCGAGGTGGGTCACACTGTGGACCTCTGACACCCAAGGACACTACACAGCTAAACTGATTATCATATCCTGGGATATCCTGTTCGTGTAGGCGATGAAACTGTTGCACTCTGCAGCATCTATGAGAGCCTGAGCCTCCATCAAGTATGGAAAGACAGAGTCTGTCAAAAAAAACAAAACATAAATTAATATATAAAATAACGCTCACACACTCTCCTCTACGTTCAATCACTTGACAATGAGTGCAGGACTTTGATGCCATCTAGTGGTAGTAGGCGGCAATGAGCACCAATACTGATTCACTAACTACAGCTGCCTCACCATTTGCTCTGTGACCAAATCGTGTTATCCAGCACTTGTGATGAGCAGTGACTTTCAGGCCCACGTTTGGGAGGCACAGGTCCGATGTTCCTGAAGCCTACCAAGGAGTAAACATCTCTGCTGTAACGTGTTTAACACAGGACGAGCTGCTGCTGTTAACAATGGTGTCAATGTGTGCACTCTTACAGCCTCTCTGTACACAGACTGCCACTGTGTGAACAGCTTATTCACACAGAGGGTTATACTCAGCTGACAGCTTGCTAGTTTGCTAAATGTAACGCTTACTGAAGTAACAGTGCCAAATGCATCCACTGAGGTTGTGCATCTTCCAAAATGTCAACAGGTCTCAACAAAAGTTATTTAAAACTTCTATGGATGCACTTTTAACAAAAACGCCTTATCCTAAAATATATGGTGCCATGACTGGCTAACAATGCCTGGTTATTAAGACTTCTGGTTGAGATTAAGGAACTGGGGGGGAAAGACAACTGATTAAAACATGTTAATATGGGATTAACTTTGCTGAGTCCAGCTTAGATTTATGCAGTAAATCTGTGGCTGTAAATCTGTATAAGACAAGATAAGATATACTTTACTTATCCCAAAGTGGGAATGCAGCAACTCAAGATTAGAAACAGCCTAAAAGTAGAATGAATATAAACACAAGCACAATAACATAATATACAATCTGGCAAAACAGAGATATCAAGATAAAACTACTATAAAGAAGCTAAACAGACTCATTGGCCACTTTATTAGGTACACATTTCAGCTGATTCTTAAAGCAAATATCTGAATCATGTGATGTATATGGGTCATATGACAGCAACCCAATGCATTTAGGCATGCAAACGTGACAGGGTGCTGAAGTTTGAACTGAATGGAGAATGGGGATTTAATAGGTGATTTAAGGGACTTTGCACACGAGAGTTAACTCATATTACTCGTTACAATCAAATTATGCAGAAGAGCATCTCTGAATGTGCAGCACATCGAACCTTGAAGCAGACGGGCTACAGCAGCAGAGGGTCACACGGTCAGCTATTGACAGGAAACTGAGGCTACAGTTTGCACCTGCTCAACAAAATCAGGCAGTAGAAATGTTGCATGGTCTGATGTGAGCCAACATTCAAATAGCAGGTTCAGATATTTTCCTTTAAACCAGGGGTATTAAACATGAGGCCCAGGGACCAGATTTGGTCCAGCATTGACCTCAATCCGGCCTGCTGGATGGCGTTGGGAAAAGGAGGACATAAATGTGGGAATTTTAACTGTATTTTCACAAGTTCTACAGCTTTAATAAAAAACAGTACACCAAAGTAATTAACTAATTGATTTCTGTAACTTTATACATTTATTCTTACAATTTAAACCCATGCTGACAGATTGTTTTAGTTTACTAAAGCAGCATTTCTTCACCATGAGAGAAAAACTGAGAAATAATGTTGAAATCACCCTTTTTTTTGTCCTAT